GACAAGCACACCAAACACCTTCCAAAACCTTCCAAAATGCCACAAAACACACCACAAGCCTTACCGAACGTCTCCTTGCTACCGCAATCTTGCCCACAGGAAGCTGCGACCGCGTGGCAGCAGGGAAAATGGCCGCGGCTCCGGTTCGTAAGTAGAGGCGAGTTCGTAAGTAGAGGTAAATTTTTGGGGCCGGAGCTGGTCGTATCTCGAAATTTTCGTAAGTAAGGGCCTTCGTAAGTAGAGGTACCACTGTAACTGCTTGCAAGGGAATGTTGGATATTGGCTCTATAATTACTAAAACTTTTGAGATAGGAAGCTTTAATATACTGATGCTAGATAGGTTAAAATGTTCAAACTACATTATTCCCATATGCATATTTTAATATGTACCACATTTACATATGAATAATTGCTGGTACAGACACTGGATGCCTGCAGATTCATAGTAACAATATATATACGATCACATAACAATCAAATTCAAAGTTTCCCAACTGTGGCAATTTCCTGACCTATGGCCTTTAGTACCCAGAATTCTCCGTCAGTATTAATAATTCTGGGAGTTGAAGTCCATACATCTGAAAATTGCCAGGGTTGGGAAACACTGATCTAAGTGCAGACACTGTGCAAAACATTACTTAGTAACTTCTCTATCTTAAAAAAATACCCAAAGTGATTATTCATATTAAGTGTACTTAAAATTATTGACAAAAAGTTTTCTTTACCACGTAGTAGCACTACAATCTTGCATTAAAGCTGCAATGCTTATGACTCTTTTTGAATACATATACTTAAAATTGTATATTTAAGGGTTATTTTATTCTTTCCTCTCCAGTTGCTTTCAGGAAACAGCTTGTTATTTATATTTGTGCAAACCTCTGTAAGTAGCAGAACTACTGCATTCCCAGGGAATACTCCTCCACTAAAAATATGGAAAGCATATTTTACAATATGAACTGATCTCCTTTCCAAGGATTCATATTAAAAGAACTAATCAAATAGGAATAAAAGCTCTATTTTTATAAATCACAAGAATTCAGGCATATCCAAAGGCATGGCATCTGAGCAAGGAATGAAATAAGAAAGAATAACATATTTGTCTTACAAGGAGGAAAGTCTTTTCTTACAGGTGAAATACTGTACCACCTTTTAATTAAAGTTCAGTACAATCAGTAGGCCATTGTTAGGATTGGCAGGAATCCTTAGTAGCCAAGTTTAAGCACACGTAGGCACAGATAACAACATATTGGTAAAAAATGATGCAGAACAGATTGCACCAAAATCTGGAAGAAAAATATTAGAAAATGCTTCCAGCTCAACAGGAAAAGCATTAAGATACCCGTTAGCTAGTATTGCTGTTTGCATGAGTGAACTTAGTTAGAAGATTTGAGCAACAAGATTTTAATTATAACTAATACTATTCCCACATGACAATTTAAAAAATGCTATTGGGCTTAGAAGGGGCAAATAAATGGTGCATTTTCATACCTTCATATCTTCTTCCATTTCGGAAAGCTTCCGTTCAAGGGCTCGTTTTTCCTGTTCAGGAAATATTTTCACAGTGATCATCTTTCATGAGATTTGAGAAAGGACAATAAACCTCATAGACTTGAAGTTTTTCAAACAGAATACAGTCCTACTCCAAGGCAGAAGAATGGCAAAATCCTCTCTGTGCCACAGAACACTTCCCCTTTCTCCAATCTTATTCCCATTGTCCTTTCTGGTTTCTATCATCCGCAACTTCTACCAGTCACGGTAGCTGCATTCTTCCAATTTTTGCTTCTATTTATTTCTTCGCACAACTGCATAGTCAGACCAAATTAGATTTCCACACCTCACTGACAGATAGTTTTTTTGTACTTAGATAGCAAAAATATCTCTGCAAAGGGCCAAATTCTTGGCCCCAAACAACTGGATATTTTATTTAACTAATGGGAGCTATGCACTGACATACCATTCCATAGCAAGCAACACTGATACCAGTCATAGAATCAAGAACCAACACCCAGCTTTTTTCAGAGAGTACCAGCAATAAAAAGAGGGGACAAGATACAGTTAATTTACGGACAGTAGAGTTTTCATTTCCTTTTGGTCAGATTAGATACTCTGGGTTAATAGATACTCTGGGTTCAGGAGCAATATATTGCTACTGGGAAAGTGCACAAGATCTTAAAAGACCTGTTTGCTGGCTTCCCAGAAACATCTGTTGGCCAGTATGGGAAGCAGAACACTGGACTTTTAATTTGATCCTGCAGTCTGTTTTTATAATCCACCCATTGAGTTGTATGTGACCGTTCTCAGTGGACTCAAAGCAGCCTTGCTAACCGCTAAAGCTTCAGTCTTTCATACCCTTTCTCATACTCTTACAAACCTCCGCTTTAATATCTGAACCAAAATATAGTGCTTTCAATAAGCAATGTAAATAATAAAACCAAAACGGGAACAGATGACAGGATTGAAAATACAACTGTTATGCTGCTTCAAAGAATAATATTTTAAAGGTATTAAAGAACTTATGTACTGATAGGCCCTGGAAGAAGCAGAACTTTGTTACTGAGTAGGCTTGATAGGATTATGTAACATACATTAAAGCATATGTTTCACCTTCAAATCTGAACTATGCTGAAAAAGTTTTTTTGAAACTATTACCTTTAAAAGTAACCCTTTCAAGTATTTGGAAAATCAGATATCAATGATGTGCTTCAACATATTTTTAATATTTTTGAAAAAACAAATGATGCTTACTTCAAAATCAAAATGAAATCAATGAAATGTCTCTATTTATTATATAGTACTAACTGCCATACAATGGGAGCAATGTCTGGGTCATAGTATTATATACAGGCAGTCCCTGGGTTAAGAATGAGATACGTTCCTAAGTCTGTCTTTAACTTGAATTTGTATGTAAGTTGGAATTTATACTTACGAAAGGGGTGCCTATTACTAAAATGGCGGACAGTGTTCTCTTTCCTTAAGCCAATGAACCGCTGAAGCCACACATTTTTAATATACAGCCTGTTTTCAGTGGTGTTCAGTGATTCATGAAAACATTGTATGATTTCAGCGGTTTGTCAGCTCGAGGAAGGAGAATGCTGTCCACCATTTTTAGTAATAGGCAGCCTGTTCATAAGTACAAGTTATCTGTAAGTTGAAGATTCTTAATGCAGGGACTGCCTGTGGTATTAGATTTATCATACTGCAGAATCCAGGCAGTTAAAATGAACTCTTAAAAAAATGAACTGCTTTCAAGTTAATAAAAAATACTGATAAACTAGCCTGAGAGCTGATCTATATGACCAGGTTACCCAAGCTAAGTATCAGATACCATTTCTTGAGGGCAGGACCTTGTTCTCGACCATCCCCCAACCCATTATGAAGGCAACTTCCATCCTTTCTTCCTTGCTTCACATTACAAATAGCGTATTCCATCCTGTGCTGCCAGAAGTGGTATTGTCCAATTAATCTGCTGAACTGCACTTCATTGTAGACGATCCAATTGGCTACTGTGTTGTGTGACAAAAACTGGTCATTGGTTACACCCTCCAAAGCCATTTTGCCCTGGGCTGTCTGCTCCCTCCAGAAGGGACCTCAGCTGGTGAACTGGAGATTTTTTCCTTTAATTTTCCTTAGTTTCATTCCACCTGCCTGTCCTCCTTACTTCTGCTCTATTCTTTCACCTGCTCACAGTATGTTCGAATCCTGAGCAATTATGAATAAGGTAGAAAAGGAACTAAAGAAGAGAGTGAGTTGGGCTGCTGGACTGGTGATACTCTGAACCTTTTATTTAACAAGTTAACTGGTGGATCAGTGAAAGGCTGAAACTTTTTTCTTTTTCTTTTAAACAAGTTCACCAATTAGCCAAAGAAATGGTAGACTTTCTCCTTTTTTCTTTTAACCAAGTGAAATTGACTAGGGCTCTGCCAGTTTCCCCTTCTAGCCAGGTGACAAGAATGATAAAATGGTCCTCCCTCCCTCCCTTCTCACCAGTAGTCACACCAAATAGGAAGGGGAAATACAAGGGGGAGTTGGTGGAAGAGGCTCATACAAAATGTCAGAGGAAACAATGGAAAAGAAAGTGGTTGGTGCTTTCTTTTCCAGCATGGGTGGAAGTTGTAAAGAAGCAGGGGAATCCACCAGTTGGCAGCCATGGTAAACTGGTTCAAACAGAACACTATGCTATCAACATGGAACAAAGGGTTGAAATCCAGGAAGCAACTCTTAAGCTGGCTTCATTTCCAGACAGTTTACACATGGGAGTCAAGTAGCTTAAGATGCAGTGCAGAAAAACTTGCAGAATCCAAAAACATCAGGAGCCTGGTATTATCCAAAAATGCTTTTACTAGGAACAGAATAAGCTTTCTGTTCTGCTGTGTTTTTCAAAATGTGTATGCAGTCTAAATTTAAATAAGTAGACTCTGAAAACCCAAAGACATACCCTTTTTTCCATCTCAAGCATACTTGAACGATCTGAGGTTTTCTCCTGCTTCTGCTATTGAAAACAAAAAAAAAATTGTTACAAAGTAATATTTTTTTGCAGTATTGTTTAAGACAATAATCAAGTATTTATCAAAAGCCCACAGTATACATACATTAATGCACTCAATGTTTTTTCAGGTACTATTAATTCTCTTATCAATAGTAATAAACATTTTGATCTTCCTAGTTGTTTTTTCAGTAAACCCTGATTTCCTAGAGTTTCTTCACCTGGGTTAGTTTGTCCATTTTTGACTTAATATCTGCAAGTTCCACCTGGGCATCTTGTAGTTTAGATTTCAACTTCTGATTTTCAGACAGGGCACTCTCATAGAGCTGAACAGAAAAAACAAAAGTGGAATTATACCTCAATATTAGATAACATTCTATCTACTGAATAATCAATGGTCACATATTGGAGGATGATAGTTTGCATGACTTGCTAGTTCAGATCCTCTGGATAAGCAAGTTTTATTGCAGCCAACAATTAGTTTCCAATTAGTTTTCAGCCAACATCTTCAGATAACTCTGCATAATTTCATGAGAGCTCTGCATCATTCCAGGCATATCCTTTTAGTTCATGTGGGATGAAAGTGGGGCCTAAAAGTACTTCTTAGAACACATCTTGAATTTTACCAGATAATATTCAGTTTAAAACAATTATTTGCAAATTATTTGCAATTTGCAATACTTCATGTAATGTTTTGGCTTTTAAAAATATTGATCTTCCAAGTAAACTACACATTCAAAAGCAACCTGAGAAGTTCTTGGAAAAACTAGACATTATATTCAAATTTTACACCAACATTTTTCCATTCCATACACAGGGAACTGAATTAAACTCAGCAGCTCCACGGAAAAGACATAGAGTAGGGATGCAAATACAGTTACTTATAGTACTGCCAAATAAACCTCATTAAACTTGCTTGAAGCTTAACTTTAACACTATTTTCTTGATATATTTCTGACTTTTGCTGGGGGTTCTGAATCTATATTACTTCATTTGCTCATTCGCCAATGGTCTCCAGCTACACTTGAAACTGCTTTGTATTAACTTATAAAGAGAGAATGGGGGGGGGGGGAAGAAGGGCCCAAGATAATTTTATCTAGTGATACAAAAAGGGTAGCCTGGGAGCTGGATGTGGTCTGCAAGCATCCTCTTTGCAATTTCCAAAGCCCTCCAGAGTGGATGGGCTGAATATTTTATATTTTGCATTGGGAAAGGTTAGGAGCAAAATAGGCTCTGCAAGTGTTTAACATCCTGATTTCCTATTTAAATCTCTCTACCACCTGCCCCCCATGGTACTCAGCCTCTTTGGCATGTAGTTCTTGAGATTACAAGAAAAGCCTAGTACAGCCTTCACACTAAGAAAAACTCCAGCAGTGGCCCACCTTTTTATAATCCTTGCTGCTATCATCTTCAGTTCTGCTGCTGAGAGCTGCCAGACGATTCTCTCTTCTGGTATAGGCACTGCTGCGGCCTGAGGGGCGATCGCTATACGTGTCACTAGTGCCAGTGCTTGAACTTGCTGAATCCAACCTGGAGTCAGATATAGTTTAAAGCAGGTTCATTCACTTTCAAAACCATTTATATCTTCAGAAAAAAAAAAGTTCTTATAGAAGAGGCAGCCAATGCAGTGACAAAAGAGTAACAATCCACTAAAAATATTTACCTATAACCTAGCGGGGGTGGAAAAGAAAGAAGGAAATGTTCATTCAAAACTGACAGAAAACAAACATTTATCTATATTTTGATGAATATAATATTGGAAAGACAAAGGAATTCAGATTATAAGAAGAGAGCTGGCCATATTGATGGTATTCTTGAAAACAGGTATTAGGGCTCCTGGCTATAGTTTTGTAAGCAGTTAAGAGAAGAGGCAATTCATTCAGATATATACAGATGCATGCTCTAACAAAAGCATGATTTCTGAAAATCTTACCTGGAAAGTCTTTCATGCTGTAAATAAAGATAAAGAAGCTCAGATTAGCAACAATAACAACAATAAATAGTTCTAGATTACAACTGTAAAGCTGGCAATATGACAATTTTGAAAATAAATGACAAATAGCTACTGTATACCATGAAACCAGCAGTGCACTATTCTGGAACTCATCTAGAAACTCTTGAACTATTTAAAAATATTTCAAAATACTGCAGTTTAGGAGTTAAAAGGCTATCTTAAAGATACCAACAGTAGCAGATATTTCTGGTAACACCCTGGTTAGACTAAAGTATAAACACAAACTTTAAAAAAAATATGGAACATACTTACTGTATATTAAATATATGCAGAATTGCATTATTGACTGAAGCTCTTTTATAATGATGAACTCTTATTCATATATGACTAACTAGCATAGACAGTATTATATTTAAGCATTTGTCATTTGTTACAGAAGAATGGAACACATATCCAAATAAATGCACTATTATTTCTGAAGATCTAATGTCTAACACCAAGCTTTTTCCTTAAAAAAGATTGTCCAAAGCAGCAAAAGCAGACTGGGAGTTGAAATTTTAGCTTGTTCCATGCCCAACAGAATTCCAGTGTTTGGGAACTGCACAGAATAATGTATGGTGAAAGAGTTTAAAATACTTGCTTAAAGAGTGGTGGTACTGTATTTATATTATTTCTACATGTATTATATTTCTCCAATATCAAGAGTGACTTGATACTGTAGAAATATAATTCTGTTAAGCAGAAATGTGTGTAAGTGTCTCCATCTTGACTATTATACCTGTATCATCAGATCAAAAGACTAACTGTCAAACTAAATTTTCACACTAATTACATACCATTACAGAAAAATCTGTAAGTATTACGTACAGGAAAGATCTTTAAGTGTATGCAGGGATATTTAAATAATTAAATGACAAATAGCCTTTTCTCTTTATTGCTTAATTCTGAGATTCTGTTCTGTGTATTTATTAGTTTACTGATGTTGTACCTTTTTTTAATCAGAACTTATTTTGATTGTCCTTTTTCAGTCCCAATGTTACATAAAAAATCAGGCCCTCCCTATTTTATATGGAGAGTGTACTACAGTTAATATTAACCCTAAGTAATATTTATCACATTCTGATGGTGCAGCTGCTCCTACTCCTTACATATTTATTCTAACTCTGAGACAGATCTTTTGAAATTTCTTTACATACTACAAAGATGACACTACGGAAAAACCTGCCCAAAATTTTCTTTATATACTGAGCAAATTAGAAAACAAACTAAACTAGATAACCTAGGCTTAATATTCAAGGCCACACTAGCTTTTAAAATTTCATACATTACTTGTAATTTTAATTTATGAAGCAAATTATTTAGAAGTAAAATGTCATTTTATGACAGTTTTAAAAGTTATCTTTATTTTGACAAGTGAATTGTTTTCTGACCATCAAAGTTCTGATGTTTTTCTGATAATGGCTCCAACAAGTTTTGCTGCCTAGAATTCCTTAATACACCATTATTTTGTATGTGTCTTAGGTCAAAGTTTCATATATCTACATTCTTTTGCCAAACACAGAGAAATACATATGTACGTTAAAATTCATTCCAATACTTACAATCTCCTATGATAATTATGTTTCATGAAAGCTTTTCATAGTATGTCAAATGAATGAAGACAATCCACTTAGTTTTGTATTGCAACCTAAATACTTATATTCTAGAAAGCAAAATAACATCTAGCCAACCTTGTTTGGGCTTGCAAGCTAAGCAGGGTGAAGGCTGGTTAGGACTTGGTTGGGAGACCACAATAGAATTCCAGAGCTGTAAACTAGACTGGGAAGTAAAAAGAAAAAAAAATCTGGAAAAAGGCAGAAAGAAATGATTTCTGTACTGTTATGCAGAAAATTGTATGGATATGACTATGTAGCCACCAATCAACTCCACTTGGAAGACTTTGCTTACAATACTTTCAAATAGAAAACTTGTCAAGAGGCAGCATAGGAGAAAAAGGGCAGTGTAATGAGTACACACGCACATTCCAATCAAAGTACTGAGACAGGCAATTTTGCTCTGTCTGAAAACATTGTTATGAAGGAAGTATCTTCTCTGTGTGAATATATAGCATTTGTCTATTTAGGAGGGGTACACTGCTAGGACTGTATTTAGTTGAAAGGAAGACAACTTTGCATTTCTAACAGCTTTCCCCTTTATTCTCAGTAATTTAAGAAGGCCTCCTATTTTAAAGATAAATTGAGGAAAAAATTAATCTTCCTAGCAAATAAAGTTGGTACATTGTTTTCAGGCACATCTTGTATTCAAATATAAATGTAACAAAGTATGTGTGTGTGTGTATGTGTGTATATATAATCTCAATAGAAGAGAATATATAGTACTGCGCAAAAGTTTTAGGCAGGTGTGAAAA